ACAAACACCGATTTCCATTAAATCGATGAGGCAATTGACTTCACAAAAAGGTGTCTTGTATTACTTATTTTTATGAGTAAATTCTCCTTCACTTATGTGCTACAGTCTAGCTTTATTTTAAGAAAATTTCGACTTTTTTATAATACATGTATATGAGTTGTATAATAATTTTTTACACCAAATGTAGAGATATAAAGAAACATAATGGAAACTATGTGTTTAAAGTACACTATTTTTAACATATCCCTAATTTCTAATCTGTGACGCTATAAAAACTAAGTACTTCTTGAGACTTAATAAGTCTCAATACTTAAGCATGAATTAAATTATCAACTTTGCCCACTAAAGTCAGTTTTAATACATAAGTTACGATTGTGAAATCGGCTCTTAGTATCAATTAAATTAAAAAAAAATTGAATAATTCATTTTTAATTTGATTAACTTCAATATTCAATTATTTATATTATATAATAATAAAATATATATACATAATATATGTTAAATGTAGAAAAGTGCATAAAACCGCATCCATTTGTTTATTTTGTTTTAAAGAAATGTACAACGAGTTTTATTGTATTACTTTAAGATCCAATTACATAAAAATAATTATCACGTGTGGGATGAATTTATTCACGATATTAAATTTTAGACTTAAGTAAGCTCTTGCTTATGTTAGATAAAAATCAAAACTGTAATCTTTTTTCTTATTAAAATGTATACGAGGAATGTAATAAGAGTTTCAAGCGGTAAACAATGTTATGCATGACTTATTATGATAAATGCATATGTATATTATATTAAATAACTAACATTCAAAAAAATATAATTTTGATAATATAACAAATTCTTTGATGTATAAATTATGTATATCATTAAATAAAGGAAAATATTAATATTACTTTTTTAATAATCTAAATATAAAAGAATCCAGATAAAATTATCTAGTTATAAAATTCCAAGTACAATTGTGTGTATGAAATTAACATATATATATTAAGTAAACTAACTAAACAACTGGGAAGAGTCTTCAAATTAATCCATAGGCAATTATGACTTTAAGAAGACGGAACGAAATCTCTTTTTAACCGGTTTTAATCCCTTGTCTTTGCGTATAAGTACCACAAGATTTATATATAATTACGAGTATCGGTTAAACAGATTTCTAATTAAAAACAAATTCTTATCGCAACTATTCTTTGGTATCAAGTACCAAAACTGATCCTCCAGTGATCAATTTATATCTTGTTTATTTTGATCTATTTTTCATATAATAAATGCATATACATATATTAATGGAATTTTATGTATGTAAATGCATACATACATATGCACATAATAAAATCAAAACTTTTAAAGAATAATTTTTATACTGAGCTCACCAAATTTAAACAAAAGAGTAGAATTATTAAAAATAATAAACAAGCAAAGAGGAAGAAGAAGAGAACTAAAACAACAACCATAAAATTGAAACCAGAAAACTTGTTTACCCATTTTTGTGGATAAACAAGCTTTTGATTTCTAAACGAAATATGGGACCAAATAATATACAGTGGGTAAAAATGGTCAAATTACATGTGAAAAATTATATATATAATAGCCGTATTTTTTTCTTTCAAAGTTATAAAAAAACAACAGAAGGTCTAGTTGAAGCCAATTGGCATTCCTTTTAAAACATATTAAATTCTTTTTTGACATACATATGTTTTTTGTTGTGTTGTGTACAGTATAAAATTTAATGATTTATGAAATTTAGTGATTTAAATATTTCTAAGCATTTTTATATCATATATTCAAATTAATTTATTTATTTATGTATTTGAATTTATTAGTTAATGAAATGCTCATATGATTTTAACAGATGACTGGAATTTTGCAACGTATTTCCAGTGAACATTCAGAATAGCTTGATTATTAAATTTGAATGCATTGAAACTTAAGACGTGAAATTTTTTACAAGTAAAACCTAACTCTGAAAATTTTAAGAGCATTGTTGATGCTCAATATGTCTTCTTTCATAAGTTGCGAGTATTTTTTTGCTACTCAAAGAAAAAATTACGGCTAATAATTAATATTCTATAACATTATGTATAAAAATATTTACATGGATATTGATATAAAGGATATTAATTCAATAAATGACGGTTCCAGTCGATCTTTTTGGAACATGAGGCATAACATTTTGTGTTCACTTAGTTCTACTTAATGAACTTCTATTTGCTTCGTTTGAGGTCTTATATAACACTTGTACTAATTCAGTTTGCTTTTAATTCACGTACAAGACATTTAGTAATGTTCTACTGCCTTGGGATGAATTCAATTACTGTTTTTGATATGGAGTTTGATGTTTTTCTGTGCTATTCATGTTGTCTTATAACATTAATAGAGAACATTTCGTTCGTCGAATATAGATACATTAAATGGATATACTAAATTTTGAGATGTTTGCTAGTGTATACCAAATGAAGATGCTTGCTATCATATTCATTTATTTCTTTTAAGGAATTCTCATTAGAAACATAAAAATCACATAAATGATATTTAATTCGAAGACTAAAAATGCGTGATAATTTTTAATTCAAATATTGTTGATAGCTATTAAGAAAAACTCGCTTTAGTACTACATATTTAATTATATTATATAAGATAAAATAATTTTTTTAAATGGATTGGTTCAATTACACAAAAAACTAAAGACTACAACTAGGGCATAAGAAACGCTACCAATATATTTTAACAATTAAATAATATATAAAGAGGTTTTTCGAACAGTAGTGAATTACAACAACAACATTTCATTTCATTATATTTTAATTAATTGAATTTTTGGCTGACCATACAGCTGTTTTCAGTATTGCCAAATACCTGTCATAAGTGGTCTTGAAAATAATTCTTGTATTTAACTATTTGTAAATAATTTAACTACAAATACCGGAAATCGAACTCGTGTCCTGCCAAATTTGACGCTCAGAGTCAGTGCACCTTAACCAACTTACCTAAAGCCGTACTTGAATTTTATGTTCGCACATTTTTCTGGAGTTTTATTAACAAAATCACTTGCTGTGTTTATATTAGAACGAAATCATAAACCAGCTGTACAATAATTGAATTAAATGATTATATATTTTATTTTTAATTGTTAAATTTCAATAATATTCAGTTGGTAGAGGCATTAATACTGAGAAAGTCATGTTAATGTTACTCCACGAGTCACATGGGCGACGATTTAAATATTAATATAGAATAGTTCGTTGTAGTTCGTTATTTTAATACTAATTTTAGTGTCAATACCCACTGTGCGAATACTGCTGCCAACTTGATGATTTTATTAGTTTTATTTGAAAGTTTGTGTGAAGTGTTCGCAGATGGAATACAATGTATATGGTGAGAATGGGAATGAACACATCCATGTATGGAGCAGTGTTAGGGAAGAGGGCCATCATATGTAGAAGAAAAATTTAACGCGTGCCCTACCCAAAATAAATCAGAAAACATTAATAAAAATAAAAATGTTAAAAAATTGCGTAAGTGTGGTAAAAAAGAAGAGAAGAGAGAAACACGAGTAAATCTAAAACAAATTTAAGAAAAATAAGCAAACGTGCGTGCAAAGTTGCAAGCAAACATAAAATAAAATAAAACTAAAAAAATCCAAAGAAAATCACAATAAAAATGAAATAAAGGTATAAAATACCTGTAAATATACATATGTATATAAAATTGTATATTTTATGATTATTTGCCATTGTGTACTTAATAAAAAAATTTATGTTGTTTTGTCTCTTATCGATAAGTTTCGTTTTTTTTTCGTTTGTTGTTTTTCGTTCATTAAGACTAAAAAAACAATAACAATTTAGCTAAATTATAGTGCATATAAAAAACAATTTATAGACGATATATATATGCATAACCAAACTTTAAAGGGCAAAGTAGTGTTACGGTAATTGGGATCAATTTTTTACCTGTTTACACCATAAGTGAAAAGTTTTTAATACTATTTATTATTTCACTTAATTTCATTAAATAAGTTCTGGCGATAGGACTTTAGTAAACTGTTTCGTTTAAATATAATTTTAAAATATCCACAGATTTATAGTTAAAATACTATATATATATACATATATTTTTAATTGTTCATATTATCAATTTTTATTTAGTTATAATAAAATATATACATATATATTTTCTATGGCTATATTTTATAACCAATTTAGAATACTCAGAACAGTTGAAGAACTTTTCTTAATTAATTTGAGTTCTTAATTTTTTCATAGAAAATCATAGAAATTAGTTATGTTATATTGACAAGATATTCCAACAATGATTACATTTCATTGTCTAAGTTTAAAATAATTTTACGACATATTAGAAACACATTTTATAATAGATCCAATGTATATGTTTAAACGGTCTTTAGAGGTTAATATTTAATATGACAAAAGATAATTAACTCCTGACACATCAGATTTAAAAAAAAATCAATTTAATTAGTTCATTTAAAATATAGCTACTTATTAGATATAAGTGTTAATTGAGCATTGCTATTATTAATGTTTATAAATAGTACAAATGTAATGAAATATTTAATTTATTCATTACGAAAGTTTGCTTTTTACCGGTTTCAATAATTTATAAAAAAAAAATTAGACCAAGCAGTCGATGTAATACGAGTAATAAACAATATTGGAAAATTTTGAAATGCGAAAAAAATTAAATTGTTTAGGAACCACATCAAAAACATATCTAAATTAAAAAAAATTAGTAATTAATAACTTGACTTGAGAAAAAAACAAATAATAGACTGTGCCCGAAAAAATGGAATTACTGATGTAAACACCAAAAATCGATGCCGTAGCCGGCAACAATCGTAGTTATAGTTTCCAGTTTTTTGATATAATAATAATACCATATACCGGTATTTTTAATAAGTTTTCATTTTGAAAATTAAATAAAATTCATGTAATTTGTTTATCCTTGGAAAGTATGCGATGAAAAAATGTACTTACTTGCTTAAAGAAATCCATGCATTTCTGGTAGAATATGAAGTTTCGGGGATACTTTTGCAGGAATACATGTAATAATTCATCGTTGCGATTGGAGGATGCATCAGCTGTTGCATTTCCAACAGCTGCACCGGAAGCCGATGATTTTTGTTGATTATTGCTAACAGCAATAAAATTAAGGCATTTACAAGAGATCAACATGATTGTTTCTTCTTTGTTTTTTATTTATATAAAAAATGAATTAATTTAAAATTATGGAAGAAATTTTACAAAACAATGTAAACAAATATATTTTATTGGAGCTAATAATTTTTATGGTACAACTTTAGGTATTATGATTTGTGCCTGATATGGTTATATTTTTTACACTTTTGTTCTAGCTCAATTTTTATGCTTTTTGTTTAAAAATATTTGGCTTGCTTATTAAATACCGGCACTATTAAGTTTTTATATTGAATTTTACACTTTTCTCTTTTATAAAAAGCGAAAATTAATGAAAAAACAACTATATTTAACACTATTATTGGAAAAAAATAGACAATAACACTTCCACTTCACACGGCATACAAATCGTTTTTCATACAAAATTTTTTGTTGCTTTTCATTCTTCTGCGTATATTAGTGAGTGTGGTGAAATTGTATTCAACATTCAGTAAGCAATAAACAGCTGCGTATAAAATAGCCGCTGTTTATAATATTTAAACAAAGAGCCGCTGCATTATAAGTTATATTATTCTTGTTAATCTAATAATTGTAAAAAAATAATTAATTATAACTATATTGAAATTATTAGTTTAAAGTCTTTTGTTTTTTATAAAATCACATGTGTTTTGTATTAAACGCGTTGTTATATTATTAACAACTTTGCTCAATTTATAGAAACCCTAAATGAAAATTACTGTAAAATACTAAAGAAGTAATAGTTTAATGAGTAAAATTTATAAAAAACGCAAGGAAAAAATAAAAAATTATTACGTACATATCATAATGACCGTCCTATAGCATGCGTATTAGAGCTAAGGCACACATTCTCCAAACTGAAGAAAATTCGAATAAGTTTTGGTCTAATAAATTGTAATGAACTTATAGAGTCTAAGCGAATTAGTCAACTAGAACGACTGCCACAGTAATAGGCTCTAATAACATGTTTTAAAAAGCGCTTGGTGGATCTATTATTTAAACACTCCTCAGATTCGCAAAATGTTTATTACAAAATTTACATAAGGTTAAGAGCCGCTGCATTATAAGTAATATATAGATCAGTTATATATGGTAAGGGAAATCAACCTAACCTAACTTATTCACCATTTTAAAAAATTTTTTTGTTTATAAAATTAATTACTAATCATTTTTTGTTGTTGTTCTTTTTAATTAATATCACATATCATATTTTATTTATATTATGTTGAGGCTAGTTGAGTCAGTGTACCTGAGCACTTTTACTCTCTATTAAGTGCGAAGTTTCTTCAAAGCCCCTCTTTGTGCCTTGACCAGATTATTGTTTATCACTTCATCAGACTAAGCAATAATTGATCTCAGATCTGCATACCTCCCCGAGGAGCCTGTAACCATTCTGAGATTCGATAACGCGGTGTTGGTAAGTCTGTCAGATTTCGCAAATAATTTCAAGGCTCTATCCTTTATGTATTTTTTGATGGGATCAATCTTGATGTCCCTGAGGATGTCATTCGTCCTAATGTACCATGGAACTTTGAAAAGTCTTGTCAGAGCCTGGCTTTGTGCAATTTCTAGCTGGTGAATAGTAGTGTTTGAATCTTGTTCTTAGTATTGAAGTTTTCATTTCTAAATAGCGGTTAAAGGTAATTTCCAAAATTTTTAGTAACTTGATTATTAAACTATATCCACACCACAATATTGAATGTTATTAGTATATTTTTACTTAAATATGAATGAAACATAAATCATTGCTACTTATATGTCGAATAAATTAGGATCCTTTAAGAATAAATTTCAAATGTTTGTCACATATTCTATATATAAAATGCAAATAAGCTATTTCACATGCATAAATTAGCTTATGCTAATGGAAACGACCAAATCTTAATATCATTGACATAAGTAGTTATAGTTGCAGTGGAAACATGATATTAACATGCTGCTACAATGACAAGAATTCAGTACAACAATATGCGTTAATAACAACAACAATTTTTAAACATTTTAGAAATAAATATTGTAATGACTAATCCTTCCGTATGCTATGGTTAATCGCTGATTATATGCCACGTTGGAAATTGGAAATGTTGACGTTTTTTATAGTGATGAGAATAGACTTTCCAAAGTTCTGAAAAATATTCAGACGGATGCAATTGGTTTATTAAATATTTTCAACAATTTAATAAATATTAAATTGTATATTTATGCTTAAAGTAGTGCAAAACTAGTAAGTAATATAAAAATATATTATTCTTCGTATAAAATCGAGCTATAATACGAAAATTCAAAGTTAAAATTAAATCTCCGAAATTGATGACGAGGTCGTTTTTAACTGGGCCGGCGGTGTATGTTGTTTTGTAAACGAAAGTGTTTATTAAAAACAAAACAATATTATTTTACATAGTTTACAAAACTCTTTATTGTCGATTTCAGATTAGACGATAAACTGTGCAATACTCATCGTTGAAAATGAAAATAAAGGAATTACAAAAAATTGTAAATATTGCGTGGTCTCCCTTACCACAAAATCCAATATATCTCGCGGCTGGTACAGCTGCACAACAATTAGATTTAAATGCGAATTCTGCTTTAGAGATTTATTCGACAAATTTTAGCGACCCGAGTTACGACCTTGAGCTAAAAGCCAGTCTTCCGAGTCAGTACAGGTAGGTGAGATTTTAATATTTCTTCGAATTTGTTTAATTTTTTTATATTGATCAAGATTCCAAAAGCTTATATGGAGTTCAACTGGCTTCGATGGAGCTCACAAAAATGGTTTAATCGTTGGTGGATGTGAAGGTGGACACGTCATGATTTATTCTGCTGCAAAAGTGCTGGCAAATGAAGAGGGTTTAATCGCACGTCAAGATAAACATAGTGGTCCAGTAACTGGTCTAGATGTAAATCCTTTCCAAACTAATTTACTTGCTTCATGCGCATCGGAATCTGAGATATTTATTTGGGACTTAAACAACACGTCCACACATATGAATCCAGGCACTAAAACTCAACCGTTGGAAGATGTCCAAAATGTTTCATGGAACCGTCAAGTTCAGCACATACTTGCATCGGTATTTAGTTCACGTTGTGTTATTTGGGACTTACGGAAAAGTGAACAAATAATAAAACTTTCGGATACGCAATCTCGTGTACGTTGGCACGCTATACAATGGCATCCAGATGTAGCCACGCAAGTATGGTTAGCATCTGAAGATGATCAAGCACCTATTGTACAATTATGGGACTTACGTTATGCAACAGCTCCTGCGAAAACTATGCAAATTCATCAACGTGGCGTGCTTGGAATGTCATGGTGCCCTCGTGATATTGATTTAATGGTTTCATGTGGCAAAGATAATCGCATTTATTGTTGGAATCCAAACACTGAAATACCTGAGGGAGAAATATTGTCTGAAGTGGCAACAACAGCAACATGGTACTCAAATGTGCAATGGTGTCCACGAAATCCAGCCCTAATTGCCAGCTCTAGCCTTGATGGGAATGTTTCCATTTATTCACTTTTTGGGGGTAGACAGCAACAAGTGCAAACTTCAAATAAAATTGCTGATTCTTTTCCGGGTATGGATCAATTAGCGCAAGCTCCAACACCACAACAATCAGCCCCAATTGTATATGAAGACTTAAAACGTGCACCGAAATGGATTAAAAGACCATGTGCAGTTTCATTTGGTGTAAATTTTTTATCTATTCTTATTTTTTACTTTATTAATAAATATTTTAATATTTATTTTTCTTGATTAGTTCGGAGGCAAACTTGTGCATTTTAATTCCAAATCAAAAACTGTGAATATATCACAAGTGATCACGGAACCGGAACTTGTTGAGCGTGCTAATACGCTAGAGCGTTCCTTAGAAGAGGTAAACTATGTTGAATATTGTCGACAACGTGCCGATCAAATGCCAGATCAAAACGGACGTTATCTTTGGTATTTCATAAAAGCCACTTTTGAACTGGATCCTAAAGAAGAAATGCTCAATCTGCTAGGTATTTTAATTTTATTTCTTTTCTTATTAAAAATCAACATCTATTTTTTTATTTTATTTTTATATTTAATTAAGGATATAATAAAGATGACATTGATAATAAATTTTCGAAATACATAAAAGAAGATCAGCAGGCAGAAAATGATGTGGACCAGTTAACAAATCATATTTCTACATTGACACATGTAAGTGGCTATACAAAAAAACAAAAACTACAAATTATACAAATATTATTTATTTTAAAAATATGAATAATAAGATTTATGTGCATTAATTAAGAAGTGTATTAAAGAAGAAATTTTGAATAATAACTTTTTATGTATTAATATTAATTTATTTTTCATCTAAGTCTAATTCTTCATCATTTCTATCAATCTGCTTAAATATTGGTTATGTAAACTTTATGAATATAGGTGAATTAATAATATTTTAAGTAGAACAGACTACTTTGTTAAAATTGGTGAAATCTTTTCCTCATTCGGTTTTTTAAATCGTAACAAATACATTCTGTCAACATGTAATTAATGTATAAAAATATAGTTTGTAATTCAATGATAAAAAGGGTTTATTTAATATAGAAATTATTTTTAAATTATTTTATATTATTGTATTCTACTAAATATGATAAGAACGAAAAGCAAATGTCCGCTTATCACTTCTATTGCGGTACTTAGCTTAATTTCTTCATACAATACAGCATCCAATCTGTTATCGCTATTTAAATGAAAGTATTCTTGTGTCAGCTTAAGGCATGCACATATTACGTTATCTTCATATAGTGATCTTTAAATTATATAACACATATCGCATTCATTTTAATTAATAATAACTCATTTTTGAATTCTTCATACGTTTAAAATGCTACTCATTTACAATTCACTCAGCAGAGTGACTCATCGGAAGTAGAGTGCGATCAGAGCACCGACATTAGTACTGATGTATCGGTAAGACTAAATTAATTAACTTTAAATTAATTAAGTTTAAAGATTTTGATTTAAATAAGATTTTGTTAACAATTTTCAAATTATTTATTTTCTTCCATTTACAGCAAATTGTTGATAATAACGCTGTATTTGATGGCATCGCAGCAGCGCAGAAACAAATTGAAGCTGTGCAGAAACCGCTCGCTCAATTTAAAATTCCATGTGGCGAACGTAAGAGAAACAATGTAAAACTTGGAAAATTTGTAATTTGCACACTCTTCTAAGTTTTTCACTACAAACTTTACATATATTCTATCTATTTACTTTAATTGGAACAAATTTCTTTTTAGATCCTGATAGTTTGATCACGGAGGCATTGCTAACAGGCAATCTAGAAGCTGCTGTAGAACTATGCATTGAATCTAAGCGTACAACGGAAGCACTCATTATAGCCTCTTCAGCTGGTATTGAATTTCTGACAAAAATACAAAACCGTTTGTTGCGAGAACAGAACACTGAACTTTCCAACGTAATTTTGGCTTTAGTAACACGAGACTGGGTCGATCTTGTTTCACGCTGTACAGTCGATTCATGGAAAGAAGTACTTATAGCTGCATTAAAACATAGTGAACGAAAGGCTCTTGATATATGTGAACGATTAGGCGATCGCCTATTAAACGAATGCTCGACATCAATTGAATATACCCAAACAGCTATGTTATGCTTTGTATGTGCTGGTAACATCGATAAGTTTGTTACCGCATGGTATCAGCTAAAACACTTGGAAAAAGAAAACACAAGTTATAAACCAAATACAACAGAACTGCAAGAATTAGCTGAAGTAGTAATGTTGATGAGCAAATCATTAGAAAGACAGGGCATAGCTTTAGATTTGAACGGTCGGTTTGCAGATTTCATCTCAGAATACGGTGGGTTACTGGCTTCTCAAGGTGCACTCACAGCTGCTTTGGCATATATTGTAGCATTAGGAAATAGTGATCATCCTGACGTATATGATTTACGCGAACGCCTTCATAATATAGTGCATAGTAAGCCAACTATGGCATTACCAACACAAGGATATAATCAAATTCAACAACCGCAAACAAATGTGTATGGTCGACAACAGCAACAACGTGGCTCATTTTCTCAGCCAAGCACCACTCACAATTATGGAAATGCACCAATTGCAAACAATTTATTACAAAATCAGTATGCAACAAATACATGGCAAACACCAGCAGCTGTACCGCAAATGCCTGCAGCACCCGTGTTTAACCCTATGCCAACAGTAAATCCGGCGGTACCGCCTGGAGTAGCCAAACCAGCAACAGTACAACATGAAGCGCCATTAGCACAGCCTGCAAGACCATCCAGTAATGCCAGTTCGCAGGGCGGTAACAGTAACACTGCCGGTGGTATATTATCACGTTCGAAATATGTGCTAGATCCATCAGTAGCAGCTCCAATGGGTAGTTATGGCAATACATACAATCCCGCACCACCAGTTATGCCCATGCAAACACCTTACAATAATAATGCTTTCAATGCCAATCCCATTTCTGCAGCACATGCACCTCTACAACAACAGCCTACTGTTATGCAACCCAGTTCATATACAAACACACCTTATGGTAATGCTTACATGCCTGGTGCAGCGCCTATTGAAAATCAACAAGTAGCGCCACCACCAATGCAGAATATTCAAAGAAATCCTACTCCACCACCAGGCTGGAATGATCCTCCAGCTTTGAAAACAACACGAGCGGTAAGTGAAGTCTGTAAAAATTTGTAACTTTAAAATAAGAAAAAGAAATATTTTGATTATTTAATTTAACAATTTGGAAGGAGAAAATGACAAAGTCTAATGAATTAATTAGGCCTACACTTAGTATGGAATACAATATTTTTTTTTGATATAAAAGACATCATATAATTGAAAGATACCGGTTCTGATTTTACACATTGATTAAAAATGTGAAAAAGTTTTTTCACGAAACACTCCTGATACTTAATAAACAGATTTTAAATTTTTAATTTAATTAATTTTTAAACTAAATTTATTTCTATCGCTTAGACCTATATCACAAGTAATAAAGAGATGCACGCAAAACATGCCGGCACACGCAAATGGCAAAAAATAATTGATCAAGAAAAGGATAAAGGCGTTTGTTTAAATTCTAGCAATTCCTTGAACTATAATAACGCCTTTTCGCCGAATTATTTTAGTCCTCTTTTTCAAGAAACGTTCTTATATCAGGTATTCCACCCAAGCTTCTAGTTGGTATTATCTGTTTCACGTTTTATTAATTTAATGTTTTATATGTTGTTTAAAATTGCTTTGGTTTGAAATTTTTTACTAAATTTTTCAGAGGTAATTATAAAAACCGTTCCTTAACAAAAATGCTGTTTGATTTTGTATTAATTAATTTTACTGTTTAGATTTATTATTAAACTCTGTTCTTTTTGTAGGCAAAAAAAGTTGAAACAAATACTACGGCTTCGCCTATCACACATCCATTGTTTGGTGTTGATCCTAATCAAAATCAAAATGGTTATATGGATCCTAATGCAGGATATCAGGTATGTAATTATTTTAATGAAATTTGTATTAAATATTACAAAAATATTTAATCATTTTGTTTTTTTTTTTTTGGTAGAATAATGCAATGTCTGGTATGCCACCTCCAATTCCGACAGGGAATATGGGAGGTTATTTAAATCCCGCTGCGAATGCAACCATACAACAAAATAATAATCCTATTGGAAATCGACCATATCCACAACAAACGAATTTTGCACCAACTGGTGTGCCAACACAACCACAAACTTGGAATACACAAACACAAAATGTAGGATACATAGAGCAACCAGCACCCATACAAAGGCAGCCAGAGCCTCCAAAAGAAAAGCCACCACTACCAGAAGAATACATATACTTACAAACTGTATTAGAAGAACTGAAAAATCAATGTTTGACAGCGGCATCTGATCCTGTATGTATTTTCACTCATATTTCATTTTCAAAAATTGTTACATTTTGTTCAGCCCAGCGTTATTATTTTGTTGCCTAAATAACAGAAAAATAATTGTTATATTTCGGCTAGTTTAACCGGTACTTGTAGAGGTTTGTTTGGATCACTGTCTTTGCTTATCCTGAAACTGTGATTGCAGTTGTGACTGCTCCTAGAAAGTAGAGAATAATCATTCTTGTTAAATAGAATTTTTATTTCACAGTAAATAATTATTACTGATTCTTTTGACTTTCGAATTAAAAAAATGTTTCATTAGAGTATTTAAATTAGAGCTGATAAATTATATACCATTTAATTCGAAGCAATATCATTAGCTTAATGATACTTAATACAATAAGATTAATTAATAACGTTTCATTAAAACTATTCGAATTTACCTATTTGGAAAATAGAAAACCGTGAAGGCATTTTTATTTTTAGCCTCCTTTAAAGAAGGTTGCGTAGCAACTGTTTATTTTCCGATGCGAGGCTGCTGACATTGTGATCAACCCCCAAACTGGAGGACCAGATTCCCTGCAGATCTAGGGATAACATTGGTATTTGGTAGCTATAGTTTCCCCTCTGCTGGGTGTTTTCAGATTATAGCGCCTGTGCTCGGTCGCCAGAGTCTCGTATGCGAGAACAGGATACACCAGTTGTAGGTGAGGTTGAATATTGAGGAGACTAAACTTTATATTCGCATCACTATCTCATTGAGGCACGCACTTCTGCCACTTGCATCCCTATATTTGCTTACTGTGTGACAAAAACGATGTATAGTTTCTCAAAATTGATTTTTCGGCTTTTGAGATAATTTGAGGATGAGGTGAAGTCTACAACCCATTTTTCTCCTATGCTTTTGGGTCCTTGATAATAATGGGTTAAAGTTTAAAAATTTGACGTTTTGAATTGTTGATATAGCATTTTTCTATTGAATTTTTTTATTTTTAATGATACAAATTTAGAATCTTCAGCAAACTTACTTTCCCAAATCCCACTGTTTTCCCTTTTCACTCCTTCCCTTTCAAAATGGAGTTTTCATAAAACTGTTTAAAAACGGTTTTTTCTAAATGATAAGAAATTCTATGAAATTCATATATTTTTTAAAATAAAATATTATTTATTAATCCTTTAAATACGCGACTTTTGAACAATAATCCGTATTATATAAACTATATTGTTCGCATCTTCATTATTTTTGTTTTTTATAACTTTTAAACAGAAAATCGTTTTTAGCGTTTCTCTCATGATAATTAATTCAATAATATTCGCAATTCGCTTTTATTAATTCATTTATGAGCATAAAAACTGATTTACTCATATACTTTTTGTACTATTAAAAAATAATCATTTAAAGACTATTCTCTTCTAAAAATAAATACAATCAAAGATTATATAATTATAATTATTTTAATTGAAAATTTCAGCGTATGAAAAGAAAATTTGTTGATGTTGTTAAACGATTAGAAAATCTTTATGATTGTTTGAGGGAGAGCAGGGTATGTATGATTTAATAATTTATAAATTTTTAAACAATTTTTAACAACCATTTACTTACAGCTCAACCCGATAACGATAACAGCACTGAATGAAATAGTACAGTACATACAAGTAGGTGACTATGGAAATGCTTTACAAACTCATACTCAGATAGCGTTTGGATCAGATTTTTCACAATGTGCCGGCTTTATGCCAGGCCTTAAAGTGCTCATACAATCAGCTTCCGAATTACAAATTTATCTACGATAAAAAGTTATTCAATTTATATGGATACTTATTATGGAATAATATCCTTATTAACCATTTATGATTATGTTCATTGTAGTAGTTTTATTTTTTGTCTTATTGTATTTTATTTTTATTACAACTAATTCCATTTAAACTTTTAAACGAACTTTTTGTTTGTACCTTCTTAATATATATATTAAATCAAATTTGCATATTTTTATTATTGCGTTCATTTTAAGTATATATTTTTTGGTGTGCTTTTCCATATCAGTTATCTTATATATATCAAATTCCTTAAATTATAGTATATAATTTTTAATATATAAGGGGATTAAAAGTTTAGGAAACTCATAAACTGTATCGTACATAAATAATACAATAGCAATATTTTGTAGTCATTGCCATAGGAAGGATGTATTTCGATTTATATTCAAGCACTAGGTATATGAAAAGTAATCCTCTTTATATGTTGTATGTATCGTATCTTATCTATTGTTCAGTTTATGTATAAAAAATGCATTTAATGCATAACAAAAACAATAAATTAAGTATAATAATGCAATAAAAATAAAATTATTATTTCCCTTTATAAAAGAAACTTTTCCGATAACAAATCAATACTATATGAATATAAATTTAACGGTAAGAGTAGTTATATATTTCATTAAAAAAATTTTGCTACTAAATTGTAACCATGACTTGTAGTTCAATTATTGAAAGCTATGTCTTCTTACTAATAGTATATTTAAATTTATTTACCAATCAAATTATACAGAGAAATTAAATTCTTTGTCAAAAATATTGTAGTTTTGAACCCTCTCGATGCAATAAAATTGTAAATATCAGATTCTCCCACAACCAATTTCCAACTAGTATATTATACCTTATGTAAATAATTTGAAAGGTAATTCTCTCAAGGTTCACAAAGAGCATCATTATTTTTGAAAAGAAATATGAGTTTCTAAAAACCCACTTCACTTAACTGTAACTATCCCGCTATAAATATCAATATAATTTTTTAACATTCAAAAAAATTTTGTATACAAGTTTTGCTTTCACAACAAATTTTTTTGATGTAGAAAATCGTAAAAATTTAATTAGGGGTTTTCAAGATCTCTGTGCATCGTTGCATGTGAAAAATTTTATTTGATTTTACAAAAACAATTGCCTTTTTTATGTTTCTGCAATTGATTACCAAGGCAATATGCAAGACCATATTTTCAACATCAATTACCTCTTGCATATGTGATTTTCAAGACTCTATTGTGAATGATACTACTTGTTTTTACTATTCACTGGGCAATACTTTAGCAAAACTGTCAAACTTTGTTGACAATTGTTTGATTTTGTATTTATACCTATACATATAAATGCAAATATAAATCTAAATTACCCATTCATTCTGCAACAGGAAAATCCAGCACAGTATTCAATATATTTTGCTTTTCACTTTTTCTTGGCATCGTTAAAATTATACAAATCGAATCTGAGTTACAAATAAATAAATACAAAAACAAAAATCAGCTGTTCTAAGTGTATGCAAGACTAATATGCAAAAAATGTATTCACGATTGTTTGAGTTTGCAATGATGCACATTCAACGATGCACATAGATCTTGAATACCCAAAGCTACTACGATTAACTCGTGGAACAGACCTTATTTTTCAATATTTATTTTTAAATAACAACCCTGGTTTCCATAATAACATTTCCAGCCGATTACTGATCAATATATTAAAATATGTAACAACTGTCAAAATGAAAAACCTAATCGGTAATGAAAACGCTAAATCAACTTTAGCAAACTTAATTGATTAAAGTTCGTAATGTGAACCCCGTATAACATGCATTTTCGGCATAGCCCGAATGAGTCAATTTTGCCGTATTCGAGGCACTCTACTTAATTAACAAACTTAAAAGAAGTAAATGCTTATCTCGCAGATGTTTTCATGAATTTTATGTGGATTTTATTTGTAAATAAAAGTACTATAGTCTGAATATATAAGCAGAGTATTTACGTATAAAAATTATGCGTTTTCAATATTAATATCAGCTAATATCTGGCACTCAAATTTTTAAATCATTTTTAAAGTATTCAAGCAATTATTAGAAGTAATCATGCTTACTAAAATTATTTTAAACTCTTTTAATGTAAAATGTATTTAAGCTAGTGTCAAAATAATAGGTGAAGCGGTCTGACTTCGGAACGGTCGAATGCACCTAATAGCATTATATATATGTAAAATGAGTGCGTGGTGTTTTTTCATTATAAATGTATGGCAACACTAATTTACTTTTTTATTTTTGCTGTCAATTTTGACAGTTTGACTTGTCTTTAGAAAAGCGAGAACGCGTGAAGTTGGTCGTGATTCTATTCTGATTTTTGTTTGATTTAGTGTTCAAAAAACTTGGAGTGAATCGTTGTTCAATAAACAAGTTGAAATATTAATCCCAGAAAATTTTAAACTACTTTGTATTTTAACTAAATTTAACCCGAACCATGTCTGGTAAGTGTGTATGTTCCACATTATAATATTTGCAATTAAAAACATAATGACATTTCAGAAAACACTCTTTTTAATATTATAAGCTATGATGGAGATGAAATAGAGGAAGTCTATGAAAGGCAAACATTACCCTCTAATGTTGAACTGTCAGAAAATGTGATGTACGAAGTGAAATATTTTGAGGATAATGATGATTCAATATATCTCGAGTATAGCGTTGAGGAAATGATAGATGAGGATATTTATGATTCACAAATGAACAACCAACAATTGTCGGTTAATGAGCAAGAGTTAGAGCAACAGTGGAATGTAGTGCACGACGAAATTACAAATGACGATAACAACAATGATAACTTTGAATATGAAATAATAGAGTATGTTGAAACAGAAGCCCCTGATGAAGATATAAAGCCAATTAAGACTAAAATTAAAGAAATTAAAGAAGAAAGCGAATGTGAATTTTTGCCAAATGATGTATGTATTAAATTACAATAATATTAGTGCTAATAATTAACATAAATATTTTAATTTAAATGATAAACCACAAGAATTATAAATGTCTTGATTGCAAACGTACGTTCAATGATGCCAGCGGAAAAGCTCAACATGTTTGTGAAAAATTTAAGAAAGCCATTGACAATAAAATAAAAAAACTTGTGGAATTTTACTGCCCAAACTGTGGAAAAAAATTTTCATCACTACCCAGTTATCACGAACATACACCAGTCTGCGAAAATAAAGTATTATTTGTATTATATTGATTAATGATTATTGCTAATATTTAATTTTTTATTTATATTCTGTAGTTTGAATGCGTTCATTGCAATAGGATATTTAAGACATTGAAAGGCCTTGTAATTCACACACGTGTACATACGGAAAAGACAAACTCAGCATCTAGTTCTGGAAATCTAGAAACAGAAATTACGTGTAATGTGTGCAATACTACTTTCTGCAGCGAAAAAAATTTAAAGTAAGTTTTATATGAATAAAATACTATACATATGTAGGTACATAGTTTTAAGATAATCACGAATAAAGTTTCAGAGAATTTCAATAAGAATTAACAATTTATGTATTTATATAAATTTTTTATTTACATTATTGTTGTTCCTATTATAAACATTACATTTGTTTTCAAATTGCTATTAGTTGTTTAAGTAGCTTTAAGTATTTGGTAAGATTGTTTAAACTGTTGTGTTGTATAAACTGTTTTGTTGTTACAAAATTTTGAACATTTTTAATATATGTCCAATTTTAAGCATGATTTAAGCCACGGTTTCTTAAATTAATTATACTCAATCTAAACAACGTATGTTAGTTTTATTAGTATTAACTAAATCATATTAAATTTATTATAACATGCATTTCTTTTAATATAGGCTTCATATGAAGGTTCACGAAACTCGTCCGAAAAAAACTATTGAGCAGGCTCTTTCCTCTGTAACAAAAAACGAGTATACAGATATGAACCTCTTTCATTGCGAAATTTGTAATAAAAGGTATCATTAATAGTGTAATTTTAAATTTGTTTTTTATTTTATTTTTTAATTTATTTTTTTATATTATTTTTTTACAGTTTTGATCAAAAACTTCTAGCCGTACATAAAAATATGCATTTGAACGTTAAAAGTTTCACTTGTAATATATGCAATCGTCGATTTGATACGGAGTTGAATTACAACTTGCACCAAAAAATGCATGCTAGTAAAGCTAAGGAGCGACCAATACAAAAAGGCAGTAAACACTTAAAACCTGGGCGTATATTTGCTTGTCAGTACTGTGATCGTGTGTTTCCACGGCCACATGAAAAGGTCATGCATGAGCGTATACATACAGGTGAAAAACCATACGAGTGTGAAGTATGCGGTAAAACTTTCCGAGTTGGCTATTCCCTTACCTTACACTTACGGACTCATACAAACATCCGACCATTTGTGTGCGAAATTTGTAAAAAACGGTAGGCAATCGAATCTATTGTTGTGTATTGGTATTATTACAACATTTAATTTTCTTTTTATTTTTCAGTTATAAATCTCAAGCAACATATTCACATCACATAAATACACACAATACTGAATGTAAATATAAGTGTGATAAGTGTGGCAAAGGCTATCGCACGTCTGTGCAGTTATGCATGCACAAGCATACACATAATAAGCCAGTCAACTGCACTGTCTGCAACCGTCCATTTGCCACATTGTATGCTGTGAAGTTACATATGAAAACACATGAACAAGGAACTAAGTTAAATGAAAATTTAAAACATTCCTGCAAGATATGTGGTGCCGCGTATGCACGCGCATTTGCACTGACCTACCACATGACTGATCAACATAACATAGAACCACGAATTGCTAATCAGATGATAGATAAAGCAAATACTGTCGAAATTAATATCGATGAAGCATTGAGTGATAATTCTAATGAACAATTCATAGAATCAGATGGCGATGAAGAAACTAAAACAGCTACTAGACAATTAACCGCATGTTTAGAGGAATACAATGATAACATTGATGAAGATATGCCAAATGAGGTAAATTTGAAATAGCAATGTAGTGTTGCTAGATATTAATTTTCAATTTATTTGTGAATAGATCAATGGAGAACATTTCAGAACAGAAGAAATAATCACGGATTGGTTAACCAATTGAATTTTCTAATTTTATTGTACATATATAGATTTACTGTTTAGAATATTTAAACTAAAATAAAACCTTGTATCATTTAATTTTAATTTTTAGTTATTATAATTCGTTATAGAGTTCATCATCAACTGTGAATTATTAAAGTATATAGAAATGTTCGAGTAGTTTGCGTATATTTGAATTGTACCGCTTGGATCTAAGCCTTCAAATATTCGGAATAGCTACCCAGAGCTATTCGAACAGCAGATCTGCTTTATATTTCTAATACTCCTAACAGCAAATACTTAAATACCATATGATGCTCGAATAATGTTTGACTGCTATATATGCAAATTGTTTTGAGTTAATTAAAGAGTAAACAGTGGGATATGTAGAACATATGTATGGAATCTAGAAAAACATGTCAGAATGAATGTAAATATGCCTGGTTTGGTTTTTGTATCAGTTTTCGCAGAGCTCACTCAAGTTTTAGGAGTGATATTTTATAATACTTTTGAGGCGGTTAAAAATATGATTAAATCAACACTTTATTATATTTTCCTATACACATACATTCAAGCACGGTTAAGATTAGTTTAGTTAGCTTAATACTGAAGAGTTTATCGAATGTTAGTGTAGAGCAATGAGCACCGTTAGAGTATTACTTGTTATTTTCAATTATAATAAAACAGACTCCTTGAAGCGCAGCACAGTTTTGAAAAGTATTTTGACCGAAATTTTTAAAATATATAAAATATTTTCATCTTACGGCAAGAAATGCTCTCGTTTAATTGAGATCACAAATAAGTCATGTGCTAAATAATTACTTCTCATGTTTAAATTACGTTAATTTTCAATGTGTGTCCTAACTGTAGCTTTGTTATTTATTGCGTAGTTCATCTGTTTTTATGTCCAAATATACATAAATTGAAGACTTACAGAATTGTGTTATTGAAATGGCTTGGTTCTTTCATTTTAATCCAAGTTTCAATTAGCATCCATCATTATTTTTAATTAATTTATTTGCCTCCTTTTTCATTCAACACAACATTCCACTTACCAATACCATATCATTCTTTTTCCGCTTTTACGAGCGTCTTATATCTTCTGCTCTGTATGCCCCTTTGTATTTCAATAAAATAACGTAACAAATAGATGCTCTTTTAAAACTTTATTGCATAAAAAAATATTTTAATTTTATTTATTGATTGATTAATTATAAAAAAATTGATCTTTTATTCATAATAAACTTCGATTTTATATTAAATATAACTGATTAATTTATCAATTGTATTAAGTCGTTATTTTAAATTATCATGCAAAAATAATTTAAATAGTACATTACCTACATAAAACATACAACTTGAGTAATCCATTTATATTAAACATTTTTGAAACAGTTTTTTCATAAAAACTTTGGTTGTTTTCTAATATTATCTAAATCTATATGATCTGTTTTCCCGCTTCCATACATTGGAGAACATGGTCCTTGATATGGAGAATATTGTTGTGGTTGTGATCTCGCTAAGGGAGAAAAATTTTGTTGCTTTTGTTTTAATATAACTGGCGATTTAGTTAAGTCGTGCTGTCCATTTACTACTGGTGATGTTCCAGCATTATATTCATTATTTTCTTCTGGTAAAAGTCTATATTTCTTCAAGTATCTGTAAGAAGCATTCGATAAGTCACAAATACCTTTATCAATATTTTCAATATTCCGTAATGGAGTTTGCTGTAGTTCTGGTGTTGTGGAACCTAAATTTACTTCTTTCATCATTTCGGTAATTTTCTCATTTGTTAAGTACTTCATAGCCAATTCATTCATTACTAAACTTCGATCACTGCTTCGCTTTTCCAGATCATTTAGAGGATTTGCATTCTGTTGGTGCGGAAACCTACTATTTACACCGTTTTGTAACGGCGAATTGGCGTGATACGCTGTAGATTGTGCTACTGGTTTTGTTACGGGAGACTGGTATTGTAAGGCATCCTGCAGCTGCTTTTGCTTCGTATTTTGCACTATAGCGTATTTATCATTCTCAAATTGCACATCAATAATTGCACCATTGGTTACACTTGGCTTCGCTATAATAAAAAAATTATAAAATTATAAAAAAATATTTGCAAAAAAGAAATAAGTTTACAATGTTGTGTGTTGAGTAGTGCGCATTGTGTACCAGTATCTTTGAAAGAGTTTTTAGCAGACAAATAGTTCTCTTCCGACTTACGCTGGCTGTTCAATAATAACAGCTCACAAATTTGTATCAAGCGTTCTTGGTTTCTTTGCATGGCTTCAACTTTGAGCGTAAGTTCTGCAACTGCATCCTTACTTGCAAGGTTTTTAAGTGCTTCTGTTAACGTTTCATTCGTAGTCGTTGTTGTGGAAGAAGCATCAGTTTGTGTGCCGGCACAAATGGTTAGGATATCATTTTTCGGTTTAATGGCCTGGGTTGTATTTTGCATAATTCGCTCAATTGAACGTCTTTGTTGTTCATGTAATTGCTGCAGTGCAAAATTACTATTGATTAAATTTAATTCATGCTGACTTGGGTATGTAATGGCACTCTCTAAGCTACGTCTATAAAAAGTATTGTTGCTAGGTGGTGTTAAGTTCGGTTTTACTGATGTAATTATGTCAATCATGTTATTGTTGGAATTAGCAGATGAAAGTGTTGTTGCACTTATTGCTGGCCGTAATGGGTTAAGATCACATTTATTGAAATTTAGATCTTTATTTGCGCTAACGGCAGGTGGGTCTAGTCCAGGTGAAGTGAAGGTAACTCTTGGTAAAACCGCTTTTTTGAATTCTGAGTAAGATTTAATTGCAGGTTTTATTGGCATTGCATTCGTTGGAGGTTGTTTTAAACTTTCTTGCAATAAAGAAACTTCAGGCACAGTTGGTGCAACAACAGATTCGGTCATATCGCTTGGTTTAGGTGCGGCACGCGGTAACATATCATCGCAACCGACTGACGCAAACATTTCTGCACTTAAATATTTTTATTAAAATTTTAATTTTGTCTTGAAATATCAAAATGCTTAAAATCATGAAATAAAGCAACAAAATAATTACAAGTTTAAACCAGAACTGTCATAATACAAAGCAACTTCTGCCATAGATTATGTTTTTCACTAGGTTGTATTTTTATTTTAAGTGTTGTACACAAATTATATAAAGTATAACAGTTTTTCGAATAATGTATTGCCGTTTTCAATGGATAAATCTGTATTCAATCTAGATTTACTCTCTATCTGTCAAATTTTGTTGTTCAATAGAACATTTTTAGTTTTTAATGCAAAAGTCTCTTGTTGTTTTCTCGAAATACTGTTAGATATGATGAAATTTAGGAAAACATCGAATTGTGCTTATGTGTATTACATGATATTACGATGCAAAAAATTGAACTGAATGTGGTTATTATTATCATATGACTAAACATATTATAAAGAAATTATTACTGAATAAGTATGTGATACATTCAATATATACAGCTGCTAACTGATACTATGTAATAAAAGAAAGGTATAGATACATAGGAAGTTGATTTATTATATTATATTATTGCTGGATTTGTAACTAATTTTGCAAAACTTTTTTTTTATTTTTTATCTGTGGAGTCAATTAGTGTTTTATATAGAATAAATTTTTTTTTTTGTAATTGTCCAACAAATTATTAAATACATTAATATGGATATATAAAGAGTCATAATTTTAGGGTAGTTAATCGAAAAAAATATATATGTATTGCATATGTAAATATTTCTAATAATTATTTAAATCTTTTACAACACTGTTTAATGTTCTATAAATAGTATTAATATAAATGATTTGTATATTTATAATTCTCATGTGTAATTTCTATAAATATTTCTAATAAATACTGCAATGAAACTTGCCATGCTGTGTTGTTTGGAAGGAGAGCAAGTTAGCACTCCCCTAGACAAGGATGGAACACATAAATGGTCGGAACAGGCACAGACAAGTTCCGACCGCCAGTTTTTTTTATAAATATATTTGATGGATAATTAAATATAAATCGATTAAACATTGAAATATATGTATCAGTGCGATGTTTTGTTAATAAAACTTTTATTTAAACATTTTAAATAATTAAAATTATTTTAATATTTTAGTTAAGAAAGGAATCAAGACTAAGCTTTATGGGCAACTTAACTAATTAATTAATTATTATTAATAAACAATGCAATGAGTTTAATAAAATATAACATAAACAAACTAAATAAAATTTAAATATAAATTGACTACTCATTAAAATAACAATGAATACAAATGGCAACCAATATGCTTAATAAAATTTGAGATAACATATACGCCCGAAGACACAGCCACGAACAACGACAACCAACCGAGAAAGGTAAATTGCCCAACCTGTGGACGTATATGACGTTGTAAGCCCAACCAACCACCATTATCCGCTAGCCAATATGCCAGATCATCTTCGATTATTTCAGCCATGCCATCAACTAAATATTGTAAATAATCGTAATGACCCTGCCTTACACAGTCGATGGCAAAACCACCACAAACGGCAAATATCGATATTATTTTGCCCCATGTTACACTTGAACGAAAGAGATCTTTGGCCACTAAATTTAACAGCATAGGCGCTGTATCACTATCTTCCAGTTCACCAAATGGTGCACGGGATAATTGCCGCGAGACATTGGTATAAACGCGTGGATGCATACGTTCCAGCTCTTCACCCATCTGTAAGATAATAAGATATTGTTATTATTTTAATAATATATATTTAATATAATTATGTGTATATTATATATAGAAAACGTACACTATTTAAGGCTGGAAACACTTCATATACAATATCTGAGGAAGGCTCCAATATGGAACGTAAACGTTGTGTTGCCTTTCTATTGAGTACTCCAGCCCGTCTAAGACGCGCTCGTATGTATTGCCCGCAAAGACATTTGCCCTGAAAAGAAACATTATTTAAATTATTTAATAACATATTTGTAGTGAAGCTATAAATAAAATATTCATATCTATTAAAAAATCTATTTTTTTTAGAATAAAAAAATAAATGCAGTTTTATATTAAATGTACTTTTTTAAGAAGAAAGTGTTTGCATTGCTTATTCATTACATTATATAAAAGCTAAGTCGGTTATAACCAGAAATAATTGCGCTTAGCGACTTTTAAAGAAGTACTAATGGGTTTAATGGGTTTTAGAACTGACAACATAAAGAGACTCATTAGGTAATTAATACACTTTTTTATTACTTCATTCATTATTCTTTGCTGTTGAAAAGCTGTTAGTTATATGTCTAACACAAATTTTTACTTCTACTAAATCAATTAAACTTTCGTAGCTTTGTTAAAAAAACACTGGCAACATGAGATGTCCCCCAGCTGATGACAGTCCAATTTATTTATACTTTGTTTTATTATGTGCTGAAGTTTTTGAAATAGTTGAAATAGGGGAAGTTTTTGATGGTCTCCCCTTCCGCATCATTACTGCACATTATGCAGTAATCATTGGATGTGAGACCCATCCTTAAGACATGTCGACCTATTAGAGAGTGTCCAATGACGATATCTATAAGTATTGAGATAATATCTTTGCTTTGTTGTTTTTTTATTTTTTATATATATTAAAGAGTTTTTGCAGGCTACTACTACTACACTTTATTAAAAATCGTTTGATCATAACATAATAAATATTTAAAAAAATTAATTGTTTTAAAGACCGTGTGCGAGTTCGAGTAAATTGAGGTAAAGTAAATTGAAATTTACTTAGAATTTTTTGCACTGCATCTTTTTAAATATTTACTTGTTTATTTATTGCACTTATTTATTATTTCTGGTTAAAAGTTTTTTATCTAATTTACACTACTCGAAATTCTAGTAAATACCAACATTCGCTGCCATATCGACATTATTTACTATTTCCCTCAATTTATGAAAAGACAGATGAAAGTCTGCATACTGATGGAAATTTGACTCAAAATCGTAAAAATACAACGCAAACTGTGCACATTTTGTAGTTGATAATATTGGAAAATACTGAAGAAATTTTGGTCATACATCTTATTGAACGACGTGTTTTGGATTCAAACAAGAATGCATGATATCAATATTGCAATGCACGGAGTTGGCCACACGCTACAGAAAAGCATAAAGAAATATGTGCAAGAACTTTGATTTATAAGTCAAGAGATACCTTAAGAAAATTGTCCATATGGCGCAGAAACTTGAGAATATAGAGAACATATAACGATATAGCTAAAGTAAAAGAATAAGCGGAGAGAAAATAGAAATGGCACCATCTTATTGACAGCCTATGGCCAATATGGAGGCAATTCAGAGTTTTTGACAGAGAACAAGGCTTTATTATTATTACTACTAATATGTCTGCGGTCGAAGAAACACCTGTACATTTTTATGAATGAAAATTTTGAAATAATTCTTTGAAAGTAAAATTTTCCATATTTTTGAAACATTTGTAAAATATCATTTACACATACTGTGAGTTTTAATTTCCTTATAAAATTAAACGTTTCAGTTTAATTAAATATTATTAGGCAATACGCCAAAAACAATACGGAATGAGTGCCAATTTTAATTTACGAGCGGTAAACATAAAACACATTTCCCAAACAAAAATATATATAGAAAAGGTTTAAGTATTGCATGTTTGAGTGGCGACGTGCCGCCACACAATGTAGGTAGTCACCTTTCAATTGGAAAGATGGAATTGTGTTCATTAACTTGAAATTATTCAATTCATAGCATCGACTAAACCAAAAGCAACATGTGGGATGACATAGCTAGTAAAAAAATAATTTCAATGAATTTTGAGTTAATATTAAAATATTAAGTAATAAACTGGGACTCCCCTGTATATATACAATATCGTCTGTCAGCATAACCTAACCTAACCTAACTTATATATTTATATAACTTTAATATATTTAAAGTTGTTAGATCTATTTTAATACTACATTTTTAATTGTTGCTATAATTGTTTGCTATTAATATTTCATTTGCGACTCAATAAACAATTGATTAATAACTAAATTTAAGATTATTAATAGCAAATCTTTCTAAATAAATTATGTTTAAGTTATATCCCTTCCATGCGTTATAGTTCTTAGGGAGATAAGTTTACTTATACACTCTCTAAAATGATTTTTAATAAAAACGTTTTTCATAAAATCTTTTTAGTTTGTGTTTTAATATTTTCATATTATATATATTATTCATAATATTTGTTATTTTTTTTATTTGTTTTAAAAATGAGAAGTAATTGCATTTATAAATAAATCACTTATACTATTATAAGGAGGGTTCCTCAAGCCAAATTAAAAAATTTAATTAAAATTTAATTAAAAAATAATGAACATTTGTAAGTTATTGTCTTTTTTATATAATATAATTTCTAAATTTTTAATTTTGTATAATTTTTTGATAACGTCGGTCTTGTTTTTATAAAGCTATTAACTACTTTTTTAAGATTTATATTAATATGGTTATTAATATTCATTATTCATAACGTTAATAAGATCTTCTTGTTATTGATCTTATTACCGATGTGTGTGTTCCAACTTGTACTGATGGAACACAATTCTTCTCTTATTCCCCAAAGCTGGACGTTTCTGGGAGATTGCTTCTTTTAGACAGTCTAATTGCTGACAGTGCAGTTCCGAGTTAAGAGTTTTGCAGTAGGAGAGCAGCTCATAATAGATGATTCTCTGCTAAACCCAGCGAATACACAGCAAAATCTTCCTGGCCGTCAATTTCTGGCCGACTGTCTTAAGGTATTCTTATTTAATTATTTAAGTAACTGGAAAGAAATATTATTTCCAGAAAACCTATAAATTTCCCAGAATATAACTTCTAAATTTAACTAAATTGGTACTTTTCTTTTTATTAAAATTGTTACTTTTAAAATATTTCCATTTTTTTTCATAAAAATCTAAAATAGTTCCATTGTTTAACTATAAGCAGCAGGTACACTAAAATCTTTGATTATTTTAACCAATAAGTTTATTTTGCTAAGAAAATATATGTACTCTCTATTGCTCTGTGGATTTACGGTTTACACAAGATATTAAAATAAATTTCAAGTTCTTTTTTTTCGTGTATATTTGTAATTGAAGTGATTGATCGATCAACTTAAAATTTAAATGTAAACATTTTTATATATGAAATTAAGCCCAATACGATTATACATGCGAAAATAATTTGGTGAAAGTGAAAACACTGAAGAAAAACTTTAAGATTTGTTAAAATTTTGTATTATATATATTAAGTATAAAGTTATGTTAATATAGAGTGCATTGTTAGTATTAATTTAAATAACATTGATTAATTTAGATAAAAAAATAGAAAATGCATGATCTACATCTTCTACATTTTTTTGTTTGCATATAGCCAGGCTACATAGATAGGTAGGTTGAATAGGATCGCACAGAGTGTTGCTTCTCGATCTTTTGGTCATTAGAGACATCAATTCGAGATGTCGTCTCAGGTATAATAGAATATAGTTAGATACGTTGCCTGTATGTATGGTTAGGTTAAAAGGGTTATATCTTTCGGTCATTAGTGACATCAATTCGAGATGTGGTCTCAGGTATAATAGAATATAGTTAGATACGTTGCCTGTATGTATGGTTAGGTTAAAAGGGTTATAACTTTTACACTCTTATATTGTGTACCTTTTGCTTTCAGTTAAAGGATATGTCTTTATATTGATAACTATTTGTTCCAAATTTGTTAAGATGAAGCAAAAAACATAAAAAGTAAATAGATACATATTAAAATAAAAATTCTTAAAGGTTAAATAATTTTGCATTTTACATATGTTCATAAATTACTTATAAATTTTTACAGTGTACCACAATTTCTTTCTACCTTGAGGAATCAATAAGTCTAACTACTTAAGGTCTCTAATAATTTGACACGCCAGTAATTATACATGTTCGTTTATATATGTATATATACATGTTATAAAATAGAGTAAATAATTTTAATTTCTGTGCGACAGAAATCAAAACCTTGAAATCATTAACATTTTAAACAGCTTTTAAGAGTTTAAGAACATTAAATATTATTCACAAATAATTAAGTGAGATAATAATAATTAATATTTTTTATAATGCTATGTACTGCATAATTTAATAAAAATAATTTTTAGTGAGTAAAAAGCGTTTCCACAAATTTTTACTTATATTTTGCTTTTACGTAGGAATTTTTTTGGTTTTTCACACCTTTTCATCATAAGTTCAAAAATTCCTCTTAAGTGATCCGAATTGCGGCTCTTGAAACTAATTGAAGCGATAATGAGTAACTGGAATGGTTCTAAATGGTGGGTGGGAAATAATGTTAAATGTTAGCTATAATATTTCCTTGTATTTAGATATTTTGTAATCAATTTAGAAACGTTTGATGTTTTTTTCGGTTTTTTTTAAGTAATTCATTGAGTGGTTTATTGCCATCAATGATGGGCCGCAAGCTTTCAAGTAATTAAAAATATAAAAAAATGATCAAAATAATTTTTTTTATTTTTATATTACTAAAATATTTACTTTTTAAATATAAATATATTTAATTATATTTAAAAGATTTTTTTATTATTTACTACCTAAGATGATCTACTTAATTGAATTCATATTAATTAGAAAGTAAATCATTTCACTTCACACGCACATGCAGGTAGTGTGCATTAGCTCATTTATGGATTAAAATAAACAAAAGTCAAAGTGATTGTAACAGCACCAAAACGGGGGAAAAAAATAAATAAAAAAGAATGAAATGAAAAGTAAAGATTGCTTTTTAAATGTACTGAAAACATGAAATAAAAATAAGAAAACATTTATGCAAAAAACTTCTGTATGGGCACTAGGTGGATTTGCAATATTATATATTACCCTCGACACACCGAGTTCAATACCCTTTAAAGTTCCTTCTCTAACCGGAGGATATATTAAGAATTCCCATAGAATTTTTATATTATGGAAAGAGACAATGAAATTCTAAGATATTTGACATATACCTATTGTGCCTCATGTGAAATTTTATATACAATAGTTTTTTTCAAAAGTACACTAACTGAAGATGTAGGGTTGAAGTTAGATATTAGTTGGTATTTTTAGGTTACCTGATTTATGATCTCCATTTTATATTCTTGATAGTTGCCTGCCGTTACTGTGCTTGCTAGTGATGAAGTTGATGGTGCACGGGTTAATGAAGTTTGAGCGTGTAGTTTCCATTCTGAAGATTTACGATTTTGTAAAAACCTATCCTGGTCTAATGATGCCGATTTTGTTTTTGGTCGCAATCTGGCTGGCTGCGGTGAAGGCATACGTTCTCACTTCGTTTGAGAGCTATACTTAAAAAAATTTATATAAAATTATTTATAATAGTTAATACAACATAATAATATCATTATTTTACAAAATTTTTAATATAATTTACAATTGTTGTATGAAACATGTTTTTAAATGATTGTGAAAAAATAAAAATAATAAAATTTACATATCTATCGTGTAGGATATATGTATAGGTGATTATATGAAAAGATAGGAAGTCGTTATAGTATTTGATTAAACAGAAAAATTGTGATTAGTTATATATGACAGTTAGGTAAAAGAAAAGTTCTGAAAAATGAAAAATTATTATTAGAGGCAATAAAGAAATTTTGGGGTAAATTGTATTCATTCCTTTACAAATTTTTGTGTTCTGTTATAGCCTGAATTTCACTAATATTAGAATATTCTTGGGCTTCTGTTTTCAGGTGATTTTCTGTTCTATAAAAGTCAGATGAAAGTAATGGAATTAAGGTCATGGAAATCGCAGAACACGAACGAACGCAGTAGTAGTTATACTCATTCGAATGGATAGTATTTATTACTTAAAGTAACAAATCCGATAACCGATTGACATAGCAACAGTGCAAAGCGGTAACTACAATACACTATAAATCGAATTGCGTTTTTTGTTACCGCTTTGTATTGTTTATTATATTTTTTTTTGTTTATTGTGGGACGTTGGAACAGCGCACTGTTCAGGAAGTGGCCCCACTGAAGTAAAGGATTAGCCGAAGTAGACCACGAAACGACTTGGGTCTTTTTTCGTCCTTCGATTCTCGGATGTCGTTATTGAATTAAAGCTAGAGTAGCTTCTGTTCGCATAATTACATCACTTGTTTATGCAAGCAGCTTATTTAGCTTAATGTTGCCTGTCAAGTCATCACCAACCCAATAGTGTCCCAAGACAGTCACAATATATGCACCGCTGTCTCCTTTTCTTCAAGACATAGTCTGCAAGTGTCTTCCTCAGCAAGAGTTATCTTTTTGAGGTGATACTTGAAGTTTCCATTTCCCGCGTAATCCATAAGGTCAGCTAGCTTAGAATGTTATTATGTTACACAGTTATATATCTATATTACATATACATATATGAATGAGTTCAGCTTCAAATTCAAATATATTAAAATCTTTTATTTTTTAGAATGAAACTTTGATGCCAGTAAGTAATTAGATTTTAGTTTAGTCAATGAATTATGTAATAATAATTTTAATAATATTTAAAATGCAAATTCTAGAGATAACCTTAGAATAATTAAATAACAAGAATTATATCATACTTAGTTAATACTTCGACATTATTCCGCAGCTTTTAGGATTATGATTCCATATAATATTGAAAATAGATTTAACATATTTTTAATTTATAATTTTAAAGTTTTAAGTTTGTTTTAGTTAAAATTTTTAATTGTGGAATTAGTCGGGAATAGAAAGTAGAGGGAAATATTTAACCGACTTACGTTCATACAATTTTGCTCCACAGTATGTTCAGGTGGTTTGATATCTGTTTAATAGACAACAAACCATAAAAACTTTACGTTTCTGGCACGGGCGCGCAATGTTGAGATATTTTTCTGTCTTCTGCTTTTGTTTTTCGCTTCTTACACGTAACCTAAGCTTAGCAGCACTTGAGGCATGGAGTTCAAAACTTATTACTTTCCTAAAAATTTTAGCAAACAAACAAATGTTATTTTAATCAAAATAATTGCCAGCAACAGTAGTTATTACCTTTGTTGACTTAGTTGATCTTGTTAAATTAAAGTATGCATATAAGATCTTTTTTTTACTAATAATTTTTTACTAATATATTTTTCTGCTTTACGAATGTGTGCTTTGACACTCAGTCTTAGATGTCAGCCAAGACTACATTGATAATAAATCGTACGAAGTATTAAATTAAAATCAAAAATCAACAAATTCTAAAATTTCTGACTACAGAATTTGTTTAGTTGCGGAGCAGAACACGTACAGAACAAATCACACAATAAATATTTAGACTAAACGATTTGATCTTTCAACCGATATGCAAACTATACTGAGACTGAGTCTAAAAAGTCTAGTTGAAACAGTAAAACACAAAAAAGAAAATAAAAAAAAATAATACAACAAAAATATTAAAACAAAACAAATATAAATTGAGCGAAAAAGCTTAAAAGTTACCTACTCTTTATTTTGAGAAAAGTGCTTTCGAGTTTTAAGTTTATATTATTTATACATGATCATTGTGCAGTGAATACGTGTGTATGAGCGAGCTAGCTATATTCTACAGTAACTTTAGTCAAAAATTATAAATTATTGTTTTTGCATATACTAACCACAACAAATCTTAACTTCACCATGGAAGTTCAAAACACTTAACTTTGTGTGCTTTTCAACACACTTAACTTTGACGTTTAGGTGTTAAGCTTTAAACGTTTTATTTGATTTAAGCGTTTGACATAATTCTACTTAACTCTACTAACATAAAATTCAATTATTCTTAAAATTCTTAAATAAAATAAAATTATTTTCAACTAAGGTATCAAAAATATGATAATAAACCTTATTAGTAAAAATAATAAAAATAATCCGAAGCTACAGCCAATAACAAGTGTGGTCCATTCCAAAGAGTTCAGACTATTGTTGTTTGGATGAACATGTGTATTGATGCCATTCTGCAATTAAATAGAAATAGTTAAATAAATGTTATTGACTAATTTTATACCTATAAATAAGTTAATTTTTATGAAGTACAGTACTTGCTCGAAAACGTGAAAAAAAAATCCAATATTTTTGCTATTATTAAAACACTTTAATTACATTTTAGGCCGTGTCCGAGTTCGAGTAAACTGAGGTAAAGTAAATTGAAATTTTTTGCACTGCCTTATGTAAATATTTATTTATTAATTTATTGCACTTAATTATTGTTTTTGGTTAAAAGTTTTCAAATTTATTTATTTATTTATTAAACATCTTATAAAATTTTCAAAATGGCAACACCTAATTTACTTAATTTTTACTCAATTTACCCTACTCGAAATTCTGGTAAATACCGATATTCGCTGTCATACCGACATAATTTACTATTTTCCTCAATTTACCATTTATTTACTCGAACTCGCACACGGCCTTAGAATTTCTTTGGCGTAAAGTAAAAGTGTTCGCGCATTTCAAAGTTCACTTAAGCCAGTGTTTACGTCTTTGAGCGAGCACTATATATTATAAAAATATGCTAACTATTATAATCTGGTAATAAGTTAATAAACGCAAGATTATAGTGAGGTAATCTGGTAAGGAGAGGCTGGAAATTGTATAAACAATATATTTTCTTGATTAAACCGAAATTCGAAGCGATTTTGTTATGTTTGACAGTCTGTTTGATTCGTATGTTGAATATTTTATTTGCTTATGGGCGATTTAATCAAATGAAACCATGCGTAGAAACTTTTTGTAGATCTAAGTAAATTATTTTTATTAGAAAGGTTCACAGCCAAGAAATTAAAGAATTATTAGAAGGAACCTTTGGTAACGCTACCTGTGAGAATTTTATTACGATTTTTGGAGAAAGTTTTTTAAAGTAACACCAACACAAGTTAAGGTTATTGATAAACTTAATAATATCTGTTAATTCGACAATCTAAAGATTCTGGATCGGTTTCATAACATTTGCAGGACTCCAGAAGATTCAGAGATTGAAATATTCTACAGATGTCAATGTCTTTTAGTGTACACTTAAGAACTCAATTATACGAGTTCTGTTGTAAATTTTTCAACAAATCTTATATTATTGTTAACACAATAAGATTATAATCCTTCTTTTTGATAATAACATGAAGTAGTTTAAAAAAGTTTAGATTTAGACCTAAAAACCTTGCAGTATATTAATTGTAATTCGAATAAGCTATTTCGTTTACCTTAGGCTATTGGCATAGGCCTACGACAGACCAAACCATTTATATTCTATATTACTAAGTACTGACGCTTCTATTCAATTTCAATGAATGTATATGAAGCTGGGATATATGTGAAATGTATATGACAATTAATATACTTTAAATGAACCAATTTTAGTTTGAAATTTTCTGAAAACATACCCAACCGCCATTTTCATTTATCCAAGGCACTAACTCATCTTCAATTACATCGGATACACTTTGCATTAATTTATTTAAATATTCTGAATGACCTTGCCGTACGCAGTCTACCGAAAGTCCGCCCGCTATAGCAAATAATGAAATAATTTTACTCCAGGTAATATCAGTACGAAAGAGATCTCTTGCCACAGTGCTCAAAACTAAAGTTAAGGTATCAACTGAAAATTCACCAGTTGGTGTTCGACAAATTTGGCGAGCTACGCCGGTATAAACGCGTGGATGCATGCGTTCCAATTCATCGCCAAGCTAATTAGTGAAAAATATAAATACATAATTATTATAAGAGGGAAATATAAATTTAAAATTGATTTCAAATGCTTACCACCATTACAGCTGGAAATACATCTCGTACTATATTCATTGAAGAAGTACCCAATATACTACGTATTCTTTGCAGTCCCAGCTTTTTGTTAAATAATCCAGAACGTCTAAGACGTCTTTTTATATATTGTCCACAAATGCAACGACCCTTTTTATGTAAGACAAGGGAATTATAGTGTTAAAATGCATAGCAATGAGTAATAAATTTTTTTTCTGTTAAAATTGTTTACCTGGTTTATAATGTCCTGAGCGGGTATTTGTGCTGCCTTCCAACCTATGGTATAAGATAATTTTCGCGTTACAACATCACTTACATTGCTCAACCTTCTGCGCGCTGAGTTTTGGTTGACCTCGAGCAGTGATGTGGAATGTATGGTTGCTGGAAAACTAAATTTACGCCGATTTTGTGATTGAAGAAACCTTTCGACTGGCGCTGGAAAACCATTGCTGAAATTGTCATTATTTGGAGGAAATGAACCGGGCATTATTTTATCTTGTGCTAACAATTGGTCAAAACTGAATCTGAAAGTAAGTAATATTAATAGAGTTTATTAAATATTTTTTTAGTCTATGATATATACACAATATTACTGAAGGCAAGTTTCGAGGATGAATATATAATATAAGATGAACAATCATTTTTAATGATCATTAAATGCTTCTTATTATTTTTATATTACAATAATTTTAGGGCTTATTACACATCAATTAAAGTTGTACTTTTATACAGAAGCATGTTGTACCAAGATACTCTGAATTCTTTAAATTATTAAGAAACTATTTATGTTATGTCTATTACTCCTTAATTTTCCTTAGCTTTATTTTATAGCTAAAATCCTGTTAAGATAGGCTGGCATCTATTATTGTTGATTGTAATCTACTATTGCTGACTGTCATCTACAAACATAATTATGTGTGGCGATATTTTATTCATGAACAATTTACATTTTTCATTGGCAGAAAACATTACCAAGATTTAAAGATTTGAATTATGATAATAATGCAGAAAAAAGGAAATGCTTCAGATTTACAATAATGACAGCTATAGTCATTTAGTAGATACGCGAAGCATTTAAATGGAACAACATATTTCGCAACAAGTTTTTGTGTCGCATTTTTAGAATCTGTAATGAATTAACCCATGATTATGTCAGTACTGAAGTTAATAAGTAACGCAAAGGTTTTTGGTACAACGTGGAACAGTGTTCCACTACGACTTTATTGAAATTTTACGATAGGTATATTAAATACGTTAAAATAGGTATAACGCTGTCAAGAAGATGTCTATACTCGTATATATTATTGATCAGTATGACAAGACGAACTGATTAGTGATACTTAGTAGTCTTTTTACTAAGGTTAAGTTACATGGCACATTATAAAACTTTGCATATGGACTTTTTGTGTAGGTTGATTGATTCTGTAGTTTAGATTTCATGATTAGATAATAGGTTGTACCACTTTCTGTTCAAGAAGCGCATAGGCCTCGTTGTGTTACCACACATCCGAATATGAGAATCTAAATTTGAAATGCAACTAATGCGATTGATGAATAAGACTAAATTTAAAAGCTCTATGTTTTTGACGTTTGCTAGTCTCAGTAATTTGTAGACTTCTTTTGTGAAATATATTAATATTTTCAGATCTGGACATTCGCATAGGAAGAGTTAAGTTGCTTCTTTTCCTTCTTAACGTGCATTTATATTTAAAGCGGAAACCTAATTTATTACCGTGGATGCTTTTTTTTCAATCCTAGTTGCGTTTCTAGTTTTAGCTTGTCCATGTGGATATTTTGCAACCACATATGTTTTTGGATATGGTTTTACAGTGTCCAGAATTTTTCAAGTCATTACCTGCCATGATGGCTTAACACCACGGTCTTCAAAAACACACGCGTTAATACAATGTCTCAATCAACACCCCTAGAAATTCAGAAGGATTTTGCCGATTTCAATGAAGTTAAGTATTCAGGACATAACTTTTTCCTTGGTAAGGAGCGAGCCCCATCTAAAACTTCTGCTGATCTTTGGGTCATAGCATCAGGTGATGAATATGCAACTCTACGCTGAATGATGGTAAATGAATACCAATTATTGTTTCCGCATAAGTTTGGGTATTAACAACAGCCATCACGATACTGTCAACCTCAGTTAGTCAGGTATCAAATTTACACCTCCGGGCGAGTGTCATAAGTGGGGACACTCACTTACTACCTTTCTGATAGTGTCACTTTTTACGACAGGCATATTTTATCTCGGAAACATTCTAACCTCTTACCCGCAGGGGGAATATGTTTTTACAACGAAATTAATATGTGATCTTTAATAAAAGATGGTTTAAATCCTTGTCTGAATATTTAATCCGGAATATTATATTCTTTTATTCCGTGGTGTATAAAAATTGTACACTGATAGATCTCATATAAAATAAATGCTGAAATGGATTAGACTTTACAATTAAATTTTATAACTTATTTTTTTTAGAAATAATTGTTTATAATATAGCGATGTACTATTAGTGTAAAGGAATTGAAGGCAGAAGTTAGCTTATTAATATGGCCTATACGGGCCTTGAAAGATATTTCATTCTTCTCGTGTAACCCATATCTGGAAAGCATAATAGCTACATGGTGATCGCCCTCTAGCGTTAGAGGGTCCCCATTATTGAAAATGCATTTGTAATAAAGTAACTACTGGGTAGTAATTCACACATGTTGTGATTCGATGTTTGAGATAAGTCTAAACAAAATCATTTGAAACTGAAACACAACTAATTCATAATATAATACTTTTTTGTAGTAATTAACTTTCATAAGTTTTTAATCAATACTATGAGTAATAATTAATGAATATTATCTACATATGTTTTTATATTTCTGATGATGGTATCGTAAATACTGACTATAGGGGTGTTTTATATTATCATAAGATGATCCAAAAGGCTTATTGAAAAATTGATAGTAATCTGTGTTCCTACAATTAAACAACAAAAATACATTATTTTACAAAATTATGCAATTCCTTCAGACCTTTTATGGGAAGCAATTTATAGTAAATTGATTGGCGCATATATTAACATCCACATCCACATATATACTTACGAATAGATACACAGAGATATGTTCATATAAGCACCTGCAGTTTCTGGTTCTCTTGTTCGAGACTTCAAAGTAAAAGAGCTGTCATTACTTGTCAGCATATGTACCAGACGTCATTCAGAAATGATTTATGCGTCCAGTTAAGGCCATAAAAAAGACAGAAGAATTTGGATGCATTGTAGTTGTAAAAAGTTGAAATTACATTTTACAAGTGCTCATTACATGTGCTACAAGATGCAATTTATTAATGAAGCAGAAATTAATGGCCAATAACTTATGAAATGTTCATGTACTTTTCCAATTAGATAAACGCAAGAGCTAAGCAATTTATGAGTAATAATTTTACTAAAGAACTAAAGTGGAAGGGTTTCAACAATTTAGTATATTCGGATTAACATATAATGGTGTAACAGTGGAAATCGAGGTCTCTATGCATTAAACGGTTAAAAAGAGAGAGATCTAAAATATAAATGAGTGAGTCAATTGAGAAATTTGGTTTAATGGAGTTGAAAATAGCTAGAAGTTTAACTCTTTCCTCTAAGTACACCTGATTTGAACATGGCAATCTATTTCGCTTTTATTTTGAAACTATTTTATTTAAATAATTACATCGCTTTAGCAGATCTGAAGAATTGTTGAAGAGCTTTTAATCTTGAGTCAATTGGCAGTGACGTATTGAGAGGAACAATGTCAATCTTTGGCTTAGTCAGTGGAACTTGTTAAAGGTATGAATAGAAAGATCATCGTATTTTTTTGAAACAGTACGTAAACCAAGAAGTCACACAAAGAAATTAATTATGTGTGTTAACTTCAACGAAATATCTTCCTTCCTAGTTTCTATTTTATTTTGTGTATGTTGATTATCTAAAAATTGTAAAAAAAATTGAATATTTGTGTCACCATAATGTCAGCAACAACAGCAAACAACGGAATACAGATAACTAAGGACAGAGAGCAGTAAGATTTAACCAAATAGCGGACCAAAATGGCCTATAATACAGATTCACTTTATAATAAGTGTAAGTAGCTTTATGATCTATTAGATATGAAACGATAATATTGATCGCATTTCAACTACTTTTATATGTTTATATTGCTTTGTAATAATTTATGTATAGGGATTATAACTCCTGTCAAATGATGCTTTCTTAAGGTATAGCAAATGAAATATGGATCATTAATAATAACTTTCTATAAGGTATAAAGGTTCTCTAAACTTCACGAAGAACTATGCCACTCCATAGAATTAAATTGAGGTTCTTTATAATTTAGAAATTGTAGAGTATATTTATGCAAAAACATAATATTCTTCCTAGTTTTTGCATTGAATGAAGCTCAATATAATTATTTTTATTGTGACCTTAATTAAGAAATAAAAATCAATACTGAAGGTACCAAAATATTTCTGACTTAGCAGTTAAAATAAAATTTGTCAACTGAACCTGTCCCAATATTTTGATCCAATTTTGAAAAATCGTGGTGAAGGAAAGTTGAGTTTACTGCGATTGACACAAAATGACATAAAAACCGTGTTTTAAAACTTTTAACGCTAGTGAGTTTTTTTTAAATTTGAATGAAAGTAAATTTTAACGATTTTAGCATAGAATTGGAAACATTTTTCCAACACACGACTTTTTTTTTAAATGTCAACATGATCACGCTTCAATACATATAGGTTCAAAGCGTAAAAGGTTTATAAAAACGAAAATTTCATAAATTTTCGACAGTGTTATTTCAACCATGAAGCCGAAACATGTAGTGTCTTTTTTATTATTGTTACTCATTGCTTTAATAGTCGAAGAATCGAAATCTGATGTATCACATTTTTTTGCGCCTGAATTAAGTTTTTTCCATGGGCATCCAGGACATACGTTTCCATTTCAAATAGCATTTCAGCCGACAGTGCAACAAGATCAAGGATTATATGCAGCGCCACCACCTGTACAAGCAGGTTATCCAGTGTCCACACATTCACCAGTAGCACCCACAACAACAACAACCACAGAATTTACACTACCAGAAATAGTAGAAAATCGTAACGCTAAAGAACACAATTTTATACCAATTAGAAATCAATATCTACCACCCGAACTTGAACGTCCAAACTATGAGAGTCCAAAACCACCACCTACCAAGTACATAAAATAACATCTAAGAAGTTTAAAAAAAAATAATAAATACAATTTTTTTTTGAAGTCAACAGGGTTATCAATATGCAAGGCCGACAACTACTACTACAACGACTGAGCGTCCAAGTCCAATAATTGTATTAGACCCGCCGGAGTTAATACCACCGCTCAATATGGAGGAGATTATAGTGCAACCACCTATACAAGTAGGACCTGGTTACGATTACAATGCTCCTACACCAGTAAACATCGCTCTACCACCTTCAACTCCAGCTCCTGCTTATCTACCACCACGGGATGTAATTACTTTTGAGACACCTGTGGGTGTAGAAAACAGTCAGATACCTTTACGTGTTCAAGTTAAAGAAATGCGTTGTCTGCAACAACAACAACAGCAACAGCAACGACAACATGACACTGTTGGTTTCTTCCGGACTGTGTTGAAAGTTGAGAGTTTTATTGCTGCCACACCAACAGTAGACAGCGATTCTAATGATAAACGCTGCGAGTTGAAACTATCGCGTAGTTATGTTTTGGTTGATATAGCTGAAGAGGATTTTGAAAAGTGTGGTGTACGCAAATGTGGTAAGGACCTGTGCTTGAGATTGCGTTTTCCAGCTATACGGGGTATGCGCACAAGTGCAGATGCAATCATGACATTACATTGTAAGACACAGGATCGTATAGCTGTTAAAACGCATGCCCTCAAAATAGGTGTTGCTAATGATGCGTAAGTGTTAAAATTAAATATAGTTTGATAGTGTATATTAAATATATGGCAGACTACAGACTTGTAGTCTGATATGAGTGAAGTATATTAAAAGGATTCAATAGTAGATTATTAATCTTTCAATGTATCTATTTATCGTTCGTTCTGAGTAAGCTACTTATATAAACATACATTGTAGGGTTGGAGGTTCTTTTCCAGTATACCTATATAAGGGTTTAAATTGTTTCTCACTACTAATTTATAAATGTGCAACAAGTATGATAAGTTAAAAAAGATAGTAAAATCGAAGCTGTAGGAAAATCTAGACATATATAATATTAGGGTAGAATGAGAGTGTCTATGAAGTACACTAAAATAATTTGATTCGTTTCATAAAAAATATAATAAATAAAAATAATATATTGCATAAATAATTATATAAAATTATTCAAAATAAATAAAAAGTGATAAAACAATTTTATTATTAATAAATCAATCAAAATATAAAAAATTTATTAATAACCTATTAATAGCACAAAAATAGGCGCTAGATATCACTGATCGTTTTTTTGTTGTTTGATCCTACGCAACTCTATAGTGTGAAGTTACAGAATAATGTAAATTACAAAAAAGTACAATAATTTATTTTTAATTATTTCCTCTTCAGTACCAAATAATTGTTTGTTGTTTTTTGCAAATTAACATTTTTAAATCAATTTCATATTTTAATAAAATTTTTAGTCAAGCGCGGAATACAGGTACTTACGCACACGGTGGCAGTCAGAACACTTTCCGGACTCATATTGAGCTGCTGCGCAAGTCTAATAATGGATTTACACAGCATTTACCAGCGAATGGAGCAGTACAACTTGGTGAAGATTTGTTATTGCGTGCGCATGTGCTGACAGGAGATGGTGAGTAGGTTATAGAAGAAACTAGTAATAAAGAGATTAAGGCTATAACAAAATTATTTTAACCATATTTTTATTTGCTTTGCGTTAGGTTGGAATTACACTAAACTGAGTGATGTTAGCTTACAGCGGATTGCTCCTTCTGGTGAATTACTAAATTTAGCCAATCTTATAACTACAAATGGTTGTGTCAATCCTTCTATGCAGAGTATTTGTACACAGCCACCTGTATATGATCCACCCTTGGGACATAAATTAGCTTTTAAAGCAGTCATGTTTCAAGGTATGCGCAGTGGTGACGAAGTGGTTATGACCATGCGTATACATGGTTGTTTGGAACAACATGATTGCTACATAAGTACTCAAGAGTGCAGCGTTAACAATTTAGGTAGACGAAAACGCAATACGGATGACTTGGAGCGTAAGGCAACTATGGATAATGATACTGAAATTTCAGAAATATCAACTATAGCCTTTCGAGTGCTAATGCCAAATATGAATGCAACAACTGTTATAGATGACGAAAAAAAAGAAGACCAGGAGCATATGAAAAATTTCCAAATAATTAACTTGATTGGCAGTTTGGGATTTGTAGCGTCACTGACATGTTTAGGTATATATGCAGCATTAAGATTAAGAAAATAGACTTCATACTTAAAATAGTTATTAAATTGATCAATTAGATTTATTAGAGTTTTAATGGGTTAAGTAATATAAATGCGAAAATAAATTGAACTAAATTTAAACAGATATACTCGTATAATAAATTTAATAAATATTTTTATAATTATTAGTTGATAATAAACTTGATGAAGTGTTATAATAGATATACCTAGCTAAATGTATATAGATGTTTTATTTAGTCATATATGTTATTGCTATATTGCATTTTTACTTGGTTACATTTCCTTTCCTATATCGAGATACAAAAATTCTGTACAATTTGGATAGATAAGATTAAACAGTTAGCAAAAAATATTTAGAAGTTAGAGTCATATTTCCAACTGGGTTAGATAAGAGGTAGTATTCTACTTAAAACAAAAATCTAAGCAGTTGTTATCAGTTGTTAAGTGAATTAACAGTTTAAATGCTTTTATTAAGTACAATATTGCACTGTAATCCTGTTGAGAGAGTTTTCAGTTTTGGTCATCTTCTGGTACATACTCCACGAAGATGAAGATTAAAGTGTTCCATCCAAATCCTCGAATTTGCGTATACTCGAACTGAATGAGTAGCGTAATGCTCGTACGCTTGGAATTACTACTATACAAAGATGTGCAATAATTGTAGACCTAAGACCAAATTCACTTCATTCTATTCATAGTTGTATATTTTCAATACAGATTAGCACTAGCAAAATCTGTGCAAAAAACTAATCGTATATGATAAGTACGCTATATGATATAGAATACTGTAATAGTAGATAAATATTTTATTATAAAATACTAAATAACATATTTTATTTTTTTGCATGATCTTAGTAAATCTATTCAAATAAGACCAAAACAACATTACTTTAATGTATCTTGAGAACTTCTTATATGAAATGCACTTACTCTGTTATTCGTCTACGTACCATGCAAAGATCGTTGTATGCCGAAAGTAGCTCACAAATTTTTTCTATTGTGCACTTGTAATGCAATTTATCTATGCTGTTTCATGTTATAGTTTTTATTTGGTATGAATTTATGTTCATCAACAATTACATGATCCGCAACATGATTTTGGCATTATTGGAATTTTATTTTAATTTATACAATTTTTCGTTTTTTGTGTGGTTAATATTTTTAAATGGAATTTGAGGCGTTGCAATTTTGTAAGACACAACTAATGAAAATGATTTTGATTCGTTAATAGAATATTATTAGTATTAAAATTTAATTGAGTTTTCAGTCATGAAAATTCCCAGAGTTTTAATTGGTCTAAAATATTCAAAAATATCTCAAATGATAAGCACTATATAAAAATAGTATATTATATAGTTGAATGTATTTACTGATTGTATGTACAATCAAATTAATGAGTTTATTATATTTTTAAAAATATATTCACGATGTCTATATAGAATATAGGTTAAATTTATCACTAGATATAGCTAGCTTAAAAGTTTACTGCTATAGCCAAATGAAAGCAACTTAACTTATTTAATATTTCTTATAAATGTGATCCTTCAAACTAATAAGTTTATTTTGTTACAGAATATATATACTTTCGTAATTTATATTTTATAAACAAATCTATAGATTTATTAATAGACGCGAAGCTTAAAAGGTTATTATGTTTATAATTCATAATGCAATTGATTAATAAATTTGACGTTAAGCGCTGGAGTGAATCAAAATTATTACTAACTATTTATTGTTAAAATTTTTAATTTGCAAAAAAAAAACATAATGTTTTATTTATTAACAGCTATTAGTTTATAGAATATTACTTGTTGCAAAACGCAATTTAACATTTAGAATTTTATAGTCATGAAATATAAAATTATTTTATTGTAGATAGTTTATAACTAATTTACAATAAGTTTTTTATTATTACCGAGCTTTGGTTATTTATTTTACACATAAAATTATAAAAAATTTATAAAAAAATACACATTAATTTGTGTGAAATGCGCTTATTCTGTTATCCGTCTATGTACATATATAATATTTAATAAATTTAATGCGATGCAAAGATCGTTCTAAATATTTTAATTATATTTTTTATTTTTTAAAAAAGATATTTACATTACATTACATTATATTTCGGAACATCTTCAATGTACAATAAGTTAAAAAAAGATACTTTTTTATTTTCATTATTATAAATTTATTTGTTAAAAAACGAAATAACCCCGGTAATAATCAAAAAGTTTATTATAAATAGTTTATTATTTTATATGCTGAACGTTCATCACACATCCGTACTTTATGTTATCATTAAGCCAAGAATACTATATACATATAAATCAGTACAGTTTAGTGTACTGAAGATAATTTAGTGTATTAATGTTTTTTAAAACATTTCATTAAAAAGAAGAGACATTCTAAGCCTCAAAATAACCCTCAGCAAAGTCTTTGAAAAGCGCAACCATATGCTTGTTGAACATATAGCGCTTTACAAAGGTTGAACAAACTTTAGCTAATGACCTTATTATTTTTAATATTTCTTCTATATAAACTACTTGATTTTTATGATTTGTTTCTAAATATTTTTTTGCTACAAAATAGAAAAGATACACGATTATCTTGTTTCACGCACTCTAATATTAGTTTATATTATTAATCTCTTGTTTTGTTTTAATAATCCGAGAATCATTGCTTTCAAGCACATTTGATCAATGCTAATGATACTATTAACTTTATTGACTCATCCATTGAAACAGCCGCTAAAATGGGTTCCTATTAAGGAATTAACTGGGCTTTTACTGATGAGTGCTTTTATGGATGACTTGCTAAACTGCGATATATTTTTAAATGACATTATAGGTATATTTACTATGAAAAACATTGAAGCCGCGCATAACTACCAGAATTAACACAGCTGCGGTTTATTTTAGTTTCTTTAGTGCTGGAATCTAAAAAACATCTATTGTTAAAAATAGTTTGAAAGCCCTATCCGTCATATGCTGTTTAACTCCCTCAATTTTTAAGTCTTGACGGATTTCACTGTGTCATACATACTCTGTAGTTTTCAAACATCTACTGATAAAATTTTTTTATAAAATATATACCTGATATATGTTAGTTCAATATACAAAAACAATGACAAAAAGTAATGGATAAATGACTTTCTAAAAGTGTTTAGATATAGTTTTGTTTCTTGGAGAATATATGTTTTTTCGAACTTTATTTAATTTTGTATATTTCTTATTAACTTTCACTCCATGTAACTAATTTGAAGGAAATTAAAAATATCCTTTTTAAGAAATATTGTGGTTAACCTTTAATGGTTAAATAATACATAAATTATCTTATTTTCTCGCAATATGCTTATCAGTATAATTAAACTTGTCATATTTGAGAGTGATCTACTTCTTTATGAGTATAAAATGTAATATTATTTCATCTTTATGAAATTATGATCATCACGTATGTATGGCAATAAGGTGCTACAAGTTGTCCAGTAAAACATTTTCATTTTAAACACGTAAAATTTTTTCTTGACGGTACCTTATATGTCGAACTGATGAACTCTTAGAAACTGCTGTATGGAACGAAACGGAGATTTGCTGCAGATACAGATACAGATAAAATAGTAAGCATGTAATTTTGTATGATATAAGGTTAATATACTACACTTAACAGGCAACTAGTTGCATGAGTACGAGTACTTAAAATTCATTTGACACTAGATAAAAAAATATTGTACTACTTCATTACTTAATAAATAAAACATTATTTCCAATTGACAAAAAAACTGCAATATTTCAGACTTTTGTCAACACAGTAGACATTTAAGTGCAGTTAATAAGTTAATTAGTAATCATGGCGCGTACGTCCTCACAACTGAACTTCGCTTAAAAAAACTTTTTGCGGTTCGACAACAAAATAAATTACGTTTTATAACAAAAACTTTATAAAAAGAAAAATATGTCTATACTAATAGAATAAATAATATGAAGAAAAGAATTCATATTTAATAAAATTGTACTTTAATGTAGCATTCTTGAAGAGAATCTTATGCAGAGCCTATGGATCGGTTCATAATATAAGTTTGTATACTAATGGCCTTTTCGATTGGTAAATCCGGATTCAATCTAGATTTATTTTAGATCTGTCAAATTTTGTTGCCCAGTCGAACATTTTTAGAGTAATCTAACATTTTTGTAGTAGGGTTAGTAGCCATTTATATTCTTCGAAATCACATTTTATTTCTGTTTATTTGTCAAATCATATAAAACAGCTGTTAATTTCTGTGTAATCTTGTTACTCTGACAAAATATCTAGAGTGTTATAAATTAATCTCGAGCGTCATACATTTTGCCCCAAATTTACCAATTGAAAATGCAAATTGCACTAAAAGCGCATTAAATTAAAATGAAGAATTTACCTCAGATTTACCAATCGAAAACGCCCTAAGTATAGAAAATCCAACAGTTTATGTTGTTTTCTTATTAATGATTTTTTTGGTTCAATAAAATCTGATTCTGTATTTTTTTAAGAAGTTCTAAGAATCGAAAATGTTAAGCAGCTTATAAAGAAATGAAGATGAAAAAAGAACTTGAGAATCGAGATAATTGCACTCTTTTAAAGCTACTGCAATATGTACTTCATCAGAAAAATGTGATGGATCTCAAACTATACTTATGTAATATCATCTGAACAACATATTATCGTAATTCAATGGAACGTTTGTTAAAGTGGAGCACCGAAAATATCACAGATGGTGTTGAGTAGAAGCACTTTAGTTATTATTACTGTTAGGGGATCTGGTACTGCGACCGTCAGATCTATTGTGCCTCTGGGTTTAGAGTAGATCTCTAAGCTCTGTTGCGTTAATAAAAAGTAGTATAGAACTTGATTTACAGAGTGTTATTGCCTCTTCCGTAAGAATATACATTCCCATGAGCCTACTCCGTATGTGCATTAGTGCAGGGCATTATAACAGCACATGTGTGGCCTACTCCTCATTGTCTTCACAGAATCCGAAGTTTGCAT